ACCTAGGCTTTTGTCTTGGGTCTGCTGTGTAACAGGATAATCTTAACCACCTCTCTAAAACCCAATCTCTTTACATTGCAAAGGAATTGGAATAAACTATCTTTCTATGGATCTTTTAATACTCAGCTCCATAAATTCTTATTCAGAGGAGTCAATGAGAACCCTGATAATTGAAGACAATAAATTCATTGGACGGCTTTGAATAAGACAACTTTTGGTGTGCCTGCCCAGCTCAAACCCTCCTAAAGTCTCCTTTCTCAGCCCATCCCAACTACAGGACTGGGAATCTGTAGCTATATTAAAAGAGAAAAATAAGCAGTTGAAGCTAGTATTCAGAGAAAATGAAGCAGATGTGCAAAAGGTCACAGATAAGAACCATGAGAATAAGAAATTCATTTTGCTTTACTGCTGGATCTCCAGTGCCCAGATCAGTGCCTAGACCTAGCAGGCCTTCATTGAATAATTGTTAAATAACCATTGAATTTCATTCCTCCACATTGCTTCCATGAGTTACTCCTGTATTTCTCTAATTCCTATATTTTTCCCCCTTTAACTAGTGCAGGCTGCTTTCTTACAACCAGAAAGCCCTAGCAAATACATTATGGATGCCGTCCACAACCCCAAGCCATGGACTGGTACCAATCTGTGACCTGTTAGAGACTGGGCCATAGAGCTCCACTACCTGTCCCCAGCCTCCTGTCCATGGAAAAATTGTCTTCCATAAAACTTAGGAACAGGGGTAGGGGGTGGGGAGCACAGTAGGAGGTGAGCCTGGTCAGGCGAGTGAGGAGTGGGCTTATGTATAGCTGCTCCCCATCACTCCCAAGCTCTGCCTCCTCCTCCCTGTCCTGTCTCCCTCCTGTGCCCATGTCCCCTGCCCCCCTCCTGTCACCCTAGGAAAAATAATCTTCCATGAAACGGGTTCCTGGTGCCAAAAAGTTTAGGGACCACTGCATTATAGGTCTCCCCCTCCATCACTACTCATTTCACTACAGGTATATGGCAGGCCTCAGGAAAGACAATACCAAAGACTGGGCTGCCACAAGTTCCTGCCCAGGAAGATAGAATTGGCACATAAGGAAACTGGGTCAGTTGGTAAGTAGCACTAGAGTAGTGATAGAAGCCAGGGAGGTGTACAAAGTCTGGCTGGAAAAGTGATGAGAAAGTAGATGCAGAGAAGGAAGCAGATGATCATGGTTCTGAGACATCCCCATATTTTCCTGCCATAGACTGTGCCCCTCCTGATGCTTATATAGAAATCCTAATCCTCAATGTGATGGTATTAACAGGTGAGGCCTATGGCAGGCAATTAGGTTATAAGAGTGGAGCCCCCACTATGGGATTGTTGCTCTTATAAAAAGACACAAGAGAGCTTGTTTTCTCTCTGCCATATTAGGATACAATGAGAAGACAGTCATCTACAAATCAGAAGTGGTCCCTCACTGGACACCCAGTCTAAAGGCACCTTGGACTTCTTAGAACTGAGAAATGTGTTTGTTGTGTATGGTAATTTGTTACAGCAGTCTGCACTGAGACACCTCCTTTGATTAATGACCTTTCCTCTTTGAGTAAATTTCCCTTCTCATTAGTCAAAACCAAAGGCAAACTTTTAGGAATGATGTCTGTTATCTTGATCATGTTGAAGGCTTCACACTTTTATATGTATGTCAAAACAAATCAAAGTTTATACTTTAAATATGTGCCGTTTCTTGTACCTCAATAAAGTAAAAAAATGTGAAGAGCTTAGTAACTGGATTCTTTCAGTTATTTTATAACAACCAATTCACCAACAATGGTACATTTACGGAAGTTCCTTGTAACCTGTGCTATTTTGGATTTAATATCAGTATTTTTATTTCACTGCCTTCCTACTCACCCAGCCACCCACCCCCACCTAACCCTCATAGAAGTGAACAATTATAATAGTGTCTTGAGTTGGCATACTTTAATTCATAATCAGTAGAAGTAAAATGCAAGATGGTACACATTTCTTCAATTTATCAAGGTTTTGTATTTTAATCTCTAAATCTCTTAGGTGTTAAACATTAGTAAACTGGGGTAACTGATTTAACATAAACTTATGGTTTATGTCAAAATTATCTACTTAGATTACACCTTCTTTTAGGGACAGGCCCAAATCATTTATCTTGATTCTCAAATTTACAAGCACTATGTCTGGTACAGAGCAGAGTGAGGAGATATAAGGACAAAGGGGGATATGATGTAAGATGGAGTAGGAAAAAGGATATGTTTGCAGGTTACGTGTAGGTGCAGATTATGTAGGGCTTTATAGTCCATGATAAAGACATTGGATTTTATTCTGATTTTAATACAAAGCCATTAGAGGATTTTGAGCAGTGAAGTGGCAATGTCTGATTTATATTTTTAAATATGAATCACTCCAGATGCTGTGTGCAGAATAAACTGTATAAGGGAAATACGGAAGTAGGGTATATACCAAAGAGTATACCAAGAAGAATAGGTGTACATGTTTTCACTGAAAGACAGATAAAAATAATTTTCATAGCAATTTTATTCATAATGACCACAAACTGGAACAACCTAAATTGCTATCAACTATAGAGTGGATTAATAAATTGTGGTACAGTCATGCAATGGAATAGTGCACAGAAGTGAAATGTGAACTGCTGTTACATACAACATGGATTACTCTCACAGACATAATGTTGAAACAAAAGACACAAAAGGGTACATATAATCATACCACTTGTTTTAAAACAGGCAAAACTAGTCCATGGTGATAAAGGTCAGAATAGTGGTTATCTGTGTGTCAGAAAAGCATAAGGGCACATACTGAGGTCTAGAAATAGTGTGTATCTTAGAGACAAAATTATCCTTTCAAAAAAAAATAGTGTGTATGTTGACTGTAGTGGTACCTTCAAATTTTTAGTATATTTAGTATATAAAAATCTACTAAGATGTATGCTTAGTATTTGTATACTTTTAAGTTTTACCTCAATAAAATGGAAAAAATGTATTGAAAGAAAGTATATAAATTATGAAGAGATATAATATTATATTAATCAGTAGTGTTAACTTCCAAACATCTCTGGTCTTTCTTCCAGGTACATGGAAGGATTATACTCCTCCTAGAACTTTCTTGTGGCTTTGTGATTTGCTATGGCCAATAATGGTGCTTTAAGGGAGTTTAAGTGATTTGCCATACTCTTTGTTCATTTCCCAGAGTAAGAACCTATCCGTTTTGTCACACTGAGTCCCAGAATGAGGGCAACTTAGAACACAAATCAATGAACTTTTGTGTAAAGGGCCACAGAATATTTTAGGCCTTGTGAGACATACATTCTCTGTCCAACTACCCAACTCTGCCATTGTAGAACAAAAGTAGCAACAGCTAATATCTAAACAAATGGACAAGGCTGTATTCCAATAAAACTTTATTTACAAAAACAGGCAGCTAGATGGATTTTGTCCATGGGCCATAGTTTACCAACCCCTGACCTAGCCAAACTGCAATAGACAAGTTGTATGAGACAATCAGATATTGCAGTTGTTACCCAATGACACCATGGTCCATCCTAACACTGAAAATGTTCCCCATTTAAAAAAAAACACCCTAAAATACTAAACATTGGCCCAATTGTTAGTTGACAGGCATTCAGAAAATTGCCATTGGAGGATGGAAGAAATGAATTGGGGCAATTTGTACTATGAAGAAGTGAAATTACTCCTTGAGATAACCTGAAAGGCAGATAATCTACCCTTTACTAAAGAAAAAGGCAGAAAAACAAAATATTTTATAGTCGTTGTTGGCTGCACTCGACAAAATGTACAGAAAAGAGATAAATTCAGAAAATAACTGGTCAGTTTGCAGGCAGAAGTGAAAGGGAAGAAAGAATTCACAAATTCAAATACTTACTGGGTAGAATGAGGCAACTTTTCGATAACAAAATTTAAGACAAAAATGAGAAGTCTTTGAGCCCAAAGGTTGGTTAAAACCCAGTTTTGCAGCAAGGATCATAAAGCCCTACTGTTCAGTATTCTGCAAGAGTTAATGTGCCTCAGACTAAAAGTCCAACAAAGATTACACAACACTAATTAATCCCTTAATTGGACAAAATAGCTTAAGGAAAAAGTGACTAAGGATATGGTTCTCCCACTTAAGCCTGAAAGGCCTCAGGTACCCCAAAATTAAGTTCAGAGATGCATGGGAACACAAAGGCAAAGAAATATAGCAAATCTAAAAAGTACAAATTAACTAACATGTCACTTTTGGGTCATCTCCCATGGTGAGGTGATGAGGACATACTGCAAGTATGAAAGCAAATGAAGTGAACATCTTGTGGCCAGAAGGGCTCAGTTGATCTCTCTTTTTTTAGATTTACTTACTTTTAAATCGCAGAGGAACCAAAAATCATCTGTAAAGGAAAGTAGCAAGTAAATAGATGCCATTTTCTCCTAGTGTTGATGCCTATGAAAGGAAAAATGATTATTAACTCTTAATAGCACTATCTTTTCCCAATACTGAATGTAACTTTTTAATTAATGAAATATTGTTTTAGGTCACGAAACAGTCATCCAATCTTTTCCCTCTATATATAGGTTCCTTTGGGAATTAAAAAAAAAAAAGAATCTTTTTGCTCACAAAGGGCAGGAAAAAAATTAAGACTCCGTATCATGAATACACAAACTTAATACCACATAGTGGACTTACATGAGTACAACTGGGTTTAAATCCTGACTTTATTACTTACTATGTTTACTAGGGAAAATTGCAATTTCAGTTTCTTTCCATAATAATATTCACATAATAAATATCTGAAACACTTGCCAAGCCAAGTACTGCACTAAATTCTGGGAATACAACAATAAAGTCCCTAGTCACAAAGAACTTAGCTACATTTCTTAATTTGTACTACATGGACAAAAATTACCTAATTAAATTGTCTAAGGCAGGATGACTGTAAAGGTTAAATGAGACTGTGAAAGAGCTTCAAAGATTGTAAAACACTACACAAATATTCATTTATCCAAACATTTATTGAAATGCCAGGCATTGTGCTAAGCACTAGAGAGAAGACAGTGAACAAGGCTTATATGGTCCCTGCCCTTATAAAGCTTACAGTCTAGCAGTGATCAATAAGCAGTAAGCAACAATAAAATGTGCTACGTATATAGGGAAGAACAGGGTGTTTAGAGAGTGCACAGTAAGGGCACCTAGTCTAGAGGGCATCTATGAAAGCTTCCTAGATGAAATGGCATATAAACAGACACCTAAAAGATAAAGAAAAATTTGTATTGTATCCTAAGAGCAAAGGTGAAAGCAGTAGAGTGATATAATCACACAAGTCTTTTGGAACAATTCAGCTGCAGTGTGGGAAGGAATAAAAATCGGAGAAAGGGAGACTAATGAGGAGGCTGTTGCTATAATTTAAATTGATGGCCTGATTAGGATACTACTAGCAATGGAGAATTGGGAAGTCATGAACTCAGTTTTTGGCTTGAGCAAGGGCAAATGAACAGTTGGTAGTGGTAGTGCCATTTACTAGAAGAGGGAACATTAGAGGAGGAGCAGTGTTGGAGGCAAGATCAACGACATGTAGTACCTGTGAGACAGCAAAGTGTATTTATGTTAGCAAGTAGATATATAAATTAGAAAAGGTCTAGAAAGGAGACGAATTTGAAAGTCATTTGCATACAGGTGGTAACTGAAGCCATGGAAGATGAGATCAGCTAGGGAGATGATATAGACTAACAAAGCCTAAAACAAATTTTTTTAAAAATCCTAAGAACAGATTATTTAAGGAAAGAGGTGCCTGAAAAAAAGACTGAGGAAGCATACCTGGAGGTGGTATCTCCTCAAAATTAAAGTAATCTCAAATATTTAAAAAGGTAAGAATATTGACAAAGACTTAGCAAGCTTGGCAATATGGGAGAATGGGAACACAAATCTTTCAAGAAAACTAGTAGGAATGAGATATAGGGCAGTAACTGGTAAGGACACAGAGTTTTAAAAAACGATGCTTATTTTAACTATATTCACTGATACAACAGGACCAGTAACAACTATAATATTTATAAAAAATGAAAGACTGCCATGCAGTTACAGAATTACTTAATACAGAAAACAATAAAATATACATTTTCTTTTTACACAAACAAGACTAGTTATAGCAAATTCTCTATAGTTGAGGGTCAATTTAAAATAGTTGGCTTATATCTTCCCCCTAATCAGTGACTATATGATGCAAACTAATTTTATTATCACCTTAAGCAAAACATACTGCAACTTCACAAAATGTACAAGATTTCAATATCTGAGGAACCAGGGTTAGAAGGTAGAAGTGCCTGTTAGGTCTCCCGATCTTTCTCTCAAGTAATAAAGCATCTGCCAGGAAGGAGAATATTCAAAACTACTGGAAAATTGCCAGTAGATTTTGGGTTGCTTTTTATTTTTGTTATCTACTGTGTTATTTTTCCAGATATTTAAGTTTATACTATTAACCAAAATCTCACCTTCACTATTCTTGACAAGTATCTTGTCAATATACAACACTTGTTTTTCTGCCCTAATTATGTGTAACAGGATAGAGCCCTTTAATCTGATTCAAAATTAATTACTGAGTTTTAAGTGCGATTGTGAGCTACTGGAACTTATCAATGCCTTTATCGCACCTTACCAACCTAACTTGGTATGTTGGAGTTAGTTTCCCCTGTCAAATACCCTGTCAGTGTGCCCAAGGTGCCCTTCTAATTTTGCTTCTACCGGTAATTTGCCCTGTCCCTCAAAATTAAATAATCTACATTTTGGGAGCGGTAATTCTTCATTGTGCCAGCCTGTCTTATGCACTGCAGGAAGTAGGGGTCTTCAGATTTAAATGCCTGCAGAAGACTCTAGTAAATGTGACAACCAAAAAAGTGCCCCTATACATTTCTCAGCATCCTCTCTGAAAGGAGGAGTTACTGCCCCTGGTTGAAAACCACTGACAGAACTTTGGTTCTTAGGCTCTTATGGCATCTATTTTGATTGCCCAGGCACCAGTTCCTTGTAAATTCTTGGTTGTATTCTAGTTCCTTGAATCTGCTGATTAGTGACCATAGAATAATGCATCGCAATAGTTAAGACAGGATTTTATTTAGCACAAGAGTTTCAAAATGTACTTGAGATGATCTATAAATACAAGTTGAGTTGTTTATAATTAGTTTTACATATCTGACTTTACTGTACAATTGCCTTTTCATGGTTAACATAAATTTGAAAATTACTGTTTTGGCACAAAGCTACTAGATATGGAATTACTACAATCTATGAATAAGGCTGCTTCTTAAATATTTCTACTTGTGCACTTAAATGCAGAATAAATGGGACAGTTATAAATTCTAGATTAAATCAATTTTGAACATCTAACAAAATCTGATAACACTTTTAAAATAAAGTATTTCCTTTAAGCAAGATTTTTTTTAATAAAGCAGTAACACCCATGCAGATAGGCCAAAAAAGCTAACATATCTCCCACTTCCAATTGTGGAGTACAAAAATCTTTTTCTTGCCTATTTTTAACAGGACCAAACTTGTCTAGAGTAGGAAAAAAGAATTACTAACTAGCAACCATTAAGATTCTCTACTTACCATAGTCCTTTATTAGGCAAGCTGATAAAACAGCTCCTAGTTGTAAAAAAAAATTAAGGGGAAATCTCCCCAAATTGGTTAGTCTTATCTCCAAATTATAGGAAGTCTCCTAAATCAGCAGCTTAAAAAGGATTCTTGCTCCTGTGACTAAAATTTTATTTGAGTACTTCCTCTATTAGCAATATCACTACCATTAGGGTGGGTGAAGGGGTGGTGAGGGAGGAAATCTGTCAATATTTACTTCAAACTCAGAAATATGTTTAAAAAAAATAGTCTTAAACATTTTGATAGTTAAGACAAAATACCTTCACTATATGTTATGTTCTTCCTTTCTGGAAATTTATGAACTTGCTATGTGAGTTTCTGCAAACTGGTTCAAACACACTTGAGCTGATAATTTAAGACTATATGTGTCAGAATTTTAACACTTCACTAAAATAAGAGCTAAAATATTTGGCATATTATCTTCATAACACCTTAAAAACAGACTGCAAATTCAACTCACATTACCAATACTAAAACCTCTTTAAAATCAATTATATCGTAAAAGTAAAACACAATGACTTTGTCATTAAACTAAGTTTAAAAGGTGGCAGTCTCATGTTTCAGTCCCATGCTGCCATTTGAGATGAAAAAAAAAAAAAGGCAACTGTCAGAATGATTTGAATTGTGATCAGTTTGGACAGCTGGTAATAAACTTGCTTTCTCACAATTCAGATTAGTAAACTTGAAAAAAATCAAACCAATTTTTGCTTTTAGAACTGAATTCTTGAGTTTTTCAATGTTGTACTACAAAGGCTTATGGATTAGATTAATTTCTTTCTCTCATAAGATCATCCCAACCAGGCTCCATTTCAGTTGTGGCAATCCGAAACAGGGCTTGAAGATGCTCATCTGTCCATGGCTGGCTCAACGTGTGTTGGTTTCGAGTCAAATACGAAAAAGCCTTTTCACAGATTTGGTTGCTATCAAACAAGGATGCCACCTTACAGGCAACCCCTTTGATAATTGGGTAAGATTCGGCCGACAGTCCAGCATAGAACTGCCCTAAGTCTTTGACTCTGTATTCATTCCAAAGATTAGTGTTTGCCTGAAGTTTTGTTAGCTCCACCCTTACTGAAATTGGTGCATATTCAGGTTTAAAGTTAAATGGATTTGCAAAAAGTTCTAAGTCCTTTCTAATGAACCTGAGGTCCTTAAAATGTCTCTCAAATTCTTTTTGTAGACGACAAATCACCATTTGATACCTATCAGGATCAAATATTTGTTCATCTTCCTTATTTTGCTGTTTAAGCTCATCAACAACTTCTCCGAGGGCAGGAAAGTCTGCTAGATTTTTTTCCTCTATTTGTCTCTGAAAAGAATTCAGCTTAATTTCAAAGGTACAAATATGGTCAAAGGCAGCAGCAGCAAAGACTTTACTAACTTGCAGTTGTTTGCTGAGCCCTTGAAGGTGTTCCATAATATCCACCAAGAAGCCAAAGTCACAAAGCCACTGCCTGTCTGAGAAGTGGACTGTTGTTGCCCCTACTGAAACCAAGAATGCTTCCAATTTTTTTCTTAGAGAAAATATTCTTTTTAAAGTTCTCCCTCTTCTAAGCCAATTGTTCAGACATCGTCCATTAATCCTGTCGCTATGCTCTGATTCAGACTCAGCTAGTAAAGCCTGAAATTCGGGTCGCCTAGCTCCTCTGGTCTTAATCAAAACTATCCATTCGGATATGGTATTTATGATCTGATTAACATCTACATCGTAGGAGCTCAAAAGTTCCAAATGAAGAAATCCTGAATAATGAATAACATTCCAACAGTTGGGGCTTACAGCCTTTTCTCTCATGTATGAGACCAGTCCTGAGTTCTCACCAATCATCCTCAAAGTGTGGGTCGTGGTTAGTCCAACCATTCGCTGCAAGCTAAGCCCTGCTGTTTGCAGGGCGTCTAAGATTGCCGACATGAGCGCACCGACACTGAAGTGATGAGTCAGGTTGATCATGGTCAGAAGATCTTCTTGCACCTCCAACTCAGGGCTCACACCGCGGATAAAGACCAGGAGGTAGTTCTCATACGCCACAAAAGCCTGGTCGTCCAAGGCAAGAGAATAGGCTTTAAAGTCCCTGGCTCGGGTAAAAAGCTGATTGCGTAGATTCCTGTCAATGCTCAGGATCCTCTGTCTCGTGACCGCTGGAGACAAATCAATGCCTTGCAGGAGGCCTACGTGCTCAGGCAGTACCTCTCTTAGCAGTGTCTCCATGCACTGGTATACAAAGTTCCCCTCACCCCAGCCGCAACCCTTCAAGGCCAAGAGGCGGCAGATCCCGAGGCCTGCACGGGCAGCCCTCTCCTCAGGACTGAGAGAGGGCACCGGCACGTCGCCCTGACGCAGACGTTCCACCAGGGCCGCGCGCTCGCCCTCCGCCACATACCGCTCATAGTATTCGTGCTCAGCCTCGTAGTGGCGCCTGACGTCGCGTTCGCGGGTAGCTACGATGAGGCGGCGACAGACCAGGCACAGGGCCCCGTCGCCCTCCGCAGGCTTCTCCATCAAGTAACGCTCGGTCCACTCGGGCCGGAAAACTCCAGACTCGTCGACTTCCATCTTGCTCCTTTTGGGCGTCATCCACATTTGGGCCGCAAGAGCAGGGCCAGCCTCAGGCCGCAAGGAGAAAGGAGGAGCCAGCGCAGAGGCAAACACCCCCTCAGCTCTGCGCCAGATCACCTCAGCAGACGGACACCAACCCCTGGCACGGCATCTCTGCTCCTATTGGATGGATATTTCGTATTCCCCCCTAGCTCCTACGAACGAACCAATAGGAAGAGCAGACAGCGATCTCTAATGCGCAAGCGCATGGAAGCGGGCGCTTTAGGGAGGGACGAAGAGACCCAGAAACCCACGGAGTTGAGAAACTTGACTGGCATTCAAGTTGCCCAATCAACAGTTGCCACTGAAGAGTGGGGCAGGACGGTAAAAGCCAGAGTTGAAGGAATGACGTGAGTGCGAGGCACTGAAGTGATTGGTTGAAGGCACTTCCGGTAAGCTTCTGGACGTGACCTGGGCTCTTCTGGCGCCAAAATGTCGCTCGTGGCGGGGGTTATCCGGCGGCTAGACGAGACAGTGGTGAACCGTATTGCGGCGGGGGAAGTTATCCAGCGGCCCGCTAATGCCATCAAAGAGATGATTGAAAACTGGTACGGAGTCGAGCCGGGCTCCCTTAAAGATTACGCTTTAACGGGCAGCGCCTGTGACTGCCGTGGGCACGCCTCCCTCCTCTGGGCGGAGGCGTATAAAGCGCATGCCCATAACCACCGGGGCCGCGGGGTTTTGGGGTTCGCGCCAGTTTGGCTTTCTGTCTTCCCGCGTACTGCGTGCTTCTTGACGGCTCTCGCGAGACTTTCTGGGGTTGTTTGTGGCTCAAGTAGAGCGGTATATTTAGTATTGTTTTTTTTTTTTTTTTTGAGACAGAGTCTCGCTTTCTTGCCTAGGCTAGAGTGAGTGCTGTGGCGTCAGCCTAGCTCACAGCAACCTCAAACTCCTGGGCTCAAGCGATCCTCCTGCCTCAGCCTCCCAAGTAGCTGGGACTACAGGCATGCGCCACCATGCCCGGCTGATTTTTATATTATATATATTAGTTGGCCAATTAATTTCTTTCTATTTTTATGGTAGAGACGGGGTCTCGCTCAGGCTGGTTTTGAACTCCTGACCTTGAGCAATCCGCCCGCCTCGGCCTCCCAGAGTGCTAGGATTACAGGCGTGAGCCACCGCGCCCGGCCAGTATTGTTTTTAATGGTACTGTTAACTAAGGAAGTTACTTGATTTAAAATTATATATGCAGAAGATGCAAAAATAAAGATGCATAAAGGTTTATGATGAAGGGAAAAAAATCTTCTGTGTTATCAGTTTCTTGCTTATTCCAGAAACCATTCGTACTCTTGCATGGGCACAATTCATTTTAAGTCGTCAGAGTTTTAGGACAGGCTGATGGCCTTTGGACTTAACTTGTATTTCCTCTGCTGTTAAATTGTTAAATATTTTCTGTTGTTAAATTACTGACTTTACTTAGTGTTTTGCTGCTCTTTATTTTTGGCGGGGGGACATTGCGAAGATACCTGATTTTATGGGTCATCCATGGATTCTGAAGCTTAGTACTGTCACAGATATTGTGGACGGAAGAGGTTAAATACATGTGGAAAGAAAATGGGTGTGGACTGTAAACTTGAAAAAAAACTACAGATGCCCATATGTACCTAAATGTTACGTTAGATTCTTTGTGTTAAATTCACTTGATGTTAGTGAATTTAGAATATTATAGAAAAAAAATGCTACAGTGAAGAATGGTAGGTTTGTAAATAGATCTATTGTGAACACATAAACTATTTAGGGCAATGGGACTGAAAGAACAGGGGCAGAAAGGACCATTAGGGAAAAGGAAGAGAAGATAGACAAAAGAAGCAGGGAATGTAGGGACATTTTCTCCTTTTTACTTAGAGTGGTAGTAGCAGTAATAGTAGACTGGCTTTTGTTTCTGCTGTGTTACTACGTTCGAATGAACTGAAAGAATAACTTGGGCCAATTATTGTCCTGTGCCAGAGTACTGTAAAGCTAAATATGCTAGCTCAGTGACTTAGCTTTTGTATTGAGTCCAGTTATGCTCTTTTTAATATATAAGTCAAAATGGCTAATACAAGGTTCAATACAGGGGCTCCTGAGAAAGGTCTTTAATATTTAAGTAATTTATTGTCTTATTTCTGAATAAAGAATTATCTGTGTAGGAAGTTGATGACTGCTCTTTCTCATGTAGCCCCTACTAGAGAATTTGTTTCCCTAGCAGGTGCTGTATGCTTGTAGGTTACCCTTTGAAAGTACACAAGATTTATTGGTTTCTTAAAGAACTTTCTGCATTGCCATTTTTTTCTTTCCTCCCTCATAAATATATTTCCTTAAAAGGGTATAATAGAGAAAAAGATCTTAGAATTTTTATTTTTTTAATGACATTTTAATAGAATCACTTAGGAAGCTGAGGCTGAATAAAGTTGAAGCAACAGAGAAGCAGGTAAGAAAGGCATATGCCAAAAGAATCCTACTTTTAACTTTACTTACTATCTTTCCTAGAGGAACAGGAATAATGCTGAGTGTCCTATTGAGAGTGATAGTTTTTCTGTTCCTCTCTTCCCTCTCCTTCACACAATATGTAAACTCATACAGTGTAGTCACTGAGCCTATAAGACAAGTGAAAAACACATTAATGAAGCACTCTTATATTTAGAGTTTGTTATTATTGCTTATATTAAATATGTGCATTAGAGAGTAGTTGCAGACTGATAAATTATTTTCTCTGTTTGATTTGCCAGTTTAGATGCAAAATCCACAAGTATTCAAGTAGTTGTTAAAGAGGGAGGCCTGAAGTTGATTCAGATCCAAGATAATGGCACTGGGATCAGGGTAAGTAAAAACCGCAGAGGAGCAGGTGTGTGCTTTGTGTGGTACCTCTGTAGACAGGACTTTTCCCTGTTCTGAAAACTCTAGGCTTTTGCAGATGAGGTTTTTTGACTGAAAGATTCAACACCGACAGTAAATATTTATTGAGCATCTATTCTTTACTGGGCACTGTTTAGGGGATATAGCAATGAATAAAATAGACAAAAAATCCTCTCTCTTGTGGTGCTTACATTATAGTGATGGGAGACAACCAATAAATAAGTACAATAAATAGTATGTCAAACAGCATTAAGTGCTGTGGAGAAAACGAAAGCAGGGAGGAAGTTAGGAGTGGGAGAGTGGGGAGGGACACAATTTCAATTGAATCATTCAGGAAGGCGTCAGTGTGGATGTGATATTTGAGGAGAGATCTAATGGAGGTCAAGGAGCAAGCAATGAGGCTGTTTAAAGGATAAGTGTTCTGGGCAGAGAGAACAATAAATGCAAAGACTATGAAATGGTATGCCTGACATCTTTACCCATTAAAGAATGACTTCCATTCTCCTCCCTCCTCCCAGGCCCTGGCAACCACCATTCTACTTTCTGTCTCCATGAATTTGACTACTCTAGGAACCTCATATAAGAGGAATCATACAATGTTTGTGCTTTTATGACTGACTTATTTCACTTAACATAATGTCTTCAAGGTTCATCCATGTTGTAGAATGTGTCAAGTTTTCATTCCTACTTAAGGCTGGCTATCATTTAATTTTGTTTATCCATTCATCTGGTGATGGACAGGACCAGCTTCCAGATGGAAGTATGCTGACATGACCAGCAAGGAGGCCAGTGTGCCTAGAGAGTAAGGAGGGAAGAGTAACAGATATGGTCTAAGAAAGAACATGTACCTTGTGGTCCATGGTAAAATCTTTTCAGCTTTTATTATGAATGTGGTAGGATATTATTAGAGAGTTTTAAGCAAAGAGAATTACATGGTGTGGTTGAGTTTTATTTTTTTAAAAATCCTTTGTCTACTATGTCTACTAAAATAGACTGCAGAAGAACAGGGCAGAAATGTTGAGGAGACTCTTAGCAGCAATCCAGGAGTGGGGTGGTGACAGTGGACCAGTTTGGTCACAGTGGAGATGTAAGAAACAGTGAGATTCTGGGTTACTTATGAAGGCAAAGCTCTCAGAATTTGCTGACATAGAGTGTGAGAGAAAGAGGAGTCAAGAATGACTTTAAGGTTTTTGCGTATGGTAAATGGAAAAAAGAGTTGCCATTTACCAAGGTAGGAATGACTATGGAGAAAGAGGTTGGGGGAAGATCAGAAATTGATTTGGGGGCATATTAAGTTTAATTTCCCTGTTAGTTGAATATGTGTGTGAGTCTGGAGTACAGGGGAGAGGTTTCTATTATGATGGTATTGAAAACCATGACATTCACATGAGGAAATATTCAATATTTCCTGGGTAATATTGAGTATTTTGAGTAATATTGAGTATTGAGTAGTCACTGGGTAAATCAAATAGAAACCACAAAGAGATACCAATTCATATCCTTTAGGATGACTATTATTAAAAAAAATAATATGTTGATGAGAATGTAGAGAAATTGGAATTCGTGTGCATGTAAAATAGTATAGCTACTGTGGAAAATGGTGTGGTGATTCCTCAAAAAATTAAACACAATTATCATATGGTCCACCAATTCCACTTCTGGATATATACCCAAAAGAAGTAAAACTAGGGACTCAAACAGATTTTTGTACATTTACATTCTTAGTAGCATTATTTACAATAGCTGAATGGTGAAAGCATCCCAAGTGTCCTTCAACAGATGAATGGATAAACAAAATGAAAAATACTTAGCCTTAAGTAGGAATGAAAATTTGACATATTCTACAATGTAAATGAACCTTGAAGACATTATGTTAAGTGAAATAAGTCAGTCATAAAAGGACAAATATTGTATGATTCCTCTTATATGAGGTTCCTAGAGTAGTCAAATTCACGGAAACAGAAAGTAAAATGGTGGTTGCCAAGGCCTGGGAGGAGGGAGGAGAATGGAAGTCATTCTTTAATGGGTAAAGAGTTTCAGTTTTGGGGAGAAGATGAAAAAGTTCTGGAGATGGTGGTGATGGTTTCATAGCAGTGTGAATGTACTTAATGCCATAGAACTGTACACTTAAAAATGGTTAAGATGGGAAAGTTTGTTATATATTTTTTACTACAATTTAAAAAATTATCTGTAGATTTTGAATAAACACGTTTTGTATTAAAAAAAGAAAAGCCATGAGACTGAATGAGATCATCAAGAGAGTGAGTGTAGATGGAGAAGAGGTCCAATGATGGAGTCCTGGGTGACTCCAGTGTCAGGTGGTAGGGACATGAGGTGGGGACAGCAAATGACACTAAGAAGGAACAACCTAATAAGAAAGGATGATGAGGGGTTAATGTGGTATTCTGAATGCCAAGTGAGGAAGTTACTGCTCATTTAAAAAATTCAAAAAGATTTGGAAAAATGAGTAACATGATTATTTACTCATTTTTTTGTATCTAATAGAAAGAAGATCTGGATATTGTATGTGAGAGGTTCACTACAAGCAAACTGCATTCCTTTGAGGATTTATCCAGTATTTCCACCTATGGCTTTCGGGGTGAGGTAAGCTAAGAATAAAACAAATATGTGAAATATTGTCTTGTGATGAGACTGCCGTTTGTCAGTATATCTTTCTCAACAGAGGTAAATAAGATTTGGTACTTTTTACTTGTTGTATAAATGCAAATCTGAACAAGCTTAATTAACTTTAACTTTCCAAGACTCAGAATTGTTCATAAATAAACTGTTTTATAGTAGACCTCGGATATTATGTGTCTCTTGATGGAAGTGTCCAACACTACCTCTGAAGTTTTCTTCTCAAAAAGCAAATGTGAATCTGATCGGTACTTAGATCTAAGTACCAACATATGGAAAATAGGGGACAGGGAAGCATGGTAAATAATACCACATGACAAAAGACTTGATAAGAATGAGGCCTAATGTGTAGATCTTACCTAAATCTTGATTGACTATGTGATGGTAGTAAGAAGAGATTATTAATTTTCTTGGTATTTTTATTTTATCATGGGGGTTTTTTTGAGTGTTTATCTTTTAAGGTACATACTGAAATGTTTGTGGATGAAATTATGTGATGTATCATAGGAATATATGATATAGAAATAGATACAAATATTTTAAAGCCTAAAATAGGATCTTGTACTTTATGACTTGATTCCTTATGGATATCTTTTCACCTAATATAGGCCTAAGGAGTTTTTCATGGCTACATAGTATTCTATTATATGTATGTACTTTGTTTAAATGGTTTCCTGTTGAACATTTATGCACTGTGCCATTTTTTCCTGTTTAAGGCTCTGATGAATATTCTTATACACACATCTATGTTTTGTTTATTAATATTTCCTTAGTATACATTTATAGCAATAATATTCTTAGGTAAAAAAATGCATATTTTAAAAACTATTTGTATTAGTTTCCTATTGCTGCCAAAAAAATTGCTACAAACTTAATAGTGTAAAACAACACAAATTTACTATCTTACAGTTCTGGAGTTCAGAAGATTTGGGTCTCACTGGACTAAAAATCAAGGTTTTGGCAGGGCTGTGTTCCTTTCTGGAAGCTCTAGCAGACCAGAGAAACTATTTGGAGTAGTTATTTTGGGGGAATGAAAGTGAAGATGGGAGAGAGGAAAAGAGCCTATTACTTTTCATTTGGGGCCTTTCTGTAGTTTTTTAATTTTTTTTTTATCATGTACGTGTATTACTTTAATTTTTAGAAAATAAAAGGCAGCTGTGACCCAATACTCTAATTTGGATCAATTAGATCAAACCTGGGTGGTCTCAAGTACCTTCCTTCTCACAGTAACCCTCAGATTGTTCCAGGTAGAGGCAATTTCCAAGAGATGGTTCACCCTGAGGCCGCACCTGATTTTAAGTATGCCTCAGGTCAAGCTCTAGGAACGCAGTTTCATTCTGTCTTTGCAATTCCCTGGGTCAGTTTCTAAGCCCCTGGAGTCTTAGCCCAGCTGTAGGATATCTTTGAGGTTATTATTTCACTGTAATTACACAGGGAAGATTTATTGAGGGATTTCTTTGTGCATGGTCCTCATTACTTTGTATATATTAACTCCTACTCCTGACAATAACCCTGCAGAGTAGGTTCATTTCTTACCCTGTTTTACATGAGGAATCTGACACAGAGATTAAGAAACATGGCCAGGCACAAAGCTAGAAAGTGGCAGAGTGGGGAATAGAACTTGGACAGTTTAACTCACAGTCTGCTGCTGTCCACTTGCTCTACTGCTGATGAAAAGGTCCCTGAAGCAGCAGGACTGTGTGCTGTGCTATGTGTAGTGGCACTATTTCTTCCTGGTGTGATACTGTATTGTTCTACTGTGCATTTTTAATGTCCTTCCTTACACAGGCCTCAAATCATGTACATTTTTAAATAATGAAAATTAGCTCTATTACATAAACTAGGGAAATCCAGCTAGGACCTGGTCATCTCTAAGCCTGAGCCATGTTTCCTTTAATGAAATGAACCTGCTGTGGCTGAATTCACTGTTTACTGAAATACTCTCAGATAGACACCATCATATCACAGTTCCTGGGTTGCATTGTTACATACTGTGAGGTCCTTCTTATGAAAAGAGATACAGATCCCAAGGGGCCAAGAAACCACCATGATTTATAAGAGAGAAAAACTAGTCATGGGTTTTTAAAATTTGTTTTATCTTAATTGCATATTTTTAAATTTACATTTCTAAACTTATAATTGCTTATATAAAACAGTTTTGAGTAATAATATACAACACTATTTTAAATGATTCTATTGTCAATTTCTGAAAACAAGTTTTTAAATTATTGAAAGACACATCATTGAGAATATTATTAAACATGCCTATTATTCTACCACATTAGCACAATTGCTATTAACACATTAATGTTTAGTCTGTTTCCTTTTAGACTTTTTTATATATATTTTTCCCTAATTCTAGTAATTGTGATACAGATTCAGTTTGATATCCTTTATTTTTAACATGTGATCAAAAGGAATGAGCAAAGTGCTGATTGTTGCCACATGTTAATACAAAATAAAACAGGTAGTTTAGATAACCTTTCCCTTTGATGAGGTGACAGTGGGTGACCTAGCAATGAGTTTTTCTTTCACTCCATTTCCTTTTCTTCTTTAGGCTTTGGCTAGCATAAGCCATGTGGCTCATGTTACTATTACAACCAAAACAGCTGATGGAAAGTGCGCATACAGGTAGAGTGCTGACTTCTTTTACTCCTATGTATTCATCCTGAAATGTACTTTTTGCCTGGATCTCAGAGTCATCCTATCTAAACACCAGTGTTATCTTTTTTTGGCTGAGATTTTGCATAAATTTTCTTTCCTCCTTATGAATAAATTGATAATCCACAGGGATGATTATTATGTGATAGTCTTACTTCATGGATTCTTAAAAGATAAGATGTAACATACTACAGTTACCTAGCAAAGTGTCTGTTGCACATAGGTATTCTAAGTAAATGATAGCTGTGATGTTGTTTCTGGTTTTCAGTAGGATATTGCTTTGGGCTGATTACCAGGTCATAACTGGGATGCTGAAGGCTCACATTTCCTTAGCTGACTCCTGAGCCATCAGCTCCCTGTCACCTATGATGGCTTGCTTTCCTGTGAGTCACTGCTGCCTGGCTGTTGTGCTGGCACAGTTTTCAGAGGCTGAAGGATGGCCTTGGAACAGAACAAAAACAGGATTCAAAGAATGAAACTCATACCTTTGTTGTTGTGAGCACTGGCCATTCATTAGTTGAAAACTGGTAGAAGTACCTAATTCATGCCAAAAAAGAGAATTTTGTTTTAATTATACAGATTGTAAATTAAAAGGGAAAATAGCTTCAACAAAGCACAGTCCTGCTTGTTTCTCAGTCTTCTTTAACAGATAACTGTGTCAAGTAATGGAAGGTGGAGATTTCAGAGTATATAACCCTACTGCTAAGGGAGTCTGACTCTGTATGGACTGTAATTGCCCTATGGTCTAGGTGGGCTGATATGATTAGAATCCTCTCTCACAAACTGGGGAAATAATTGTGAGTTAATGTCCCCCTAGGTAGCCTAGGACACAAGTCCCATTTCTTGATCTATGGGGTTGTGTTTGCTCCTACCTGGGTCCTCTAGTGGTTCCCTTTCTGTGGCAACCAGCACCTTCTAGTGTTCTCAGTCTTCCTTTCCAGCCTCTTCTCTCCATGCATTCCCAGCTACCATATATTGTAATGTCTATGCTTTTGTTTATATTTTTCCCTTCCTGGGTGGTCTTTCTTGCCATCTCCACCTGAAGCTATTTTTCCCTGAAGGCCAGATGAATTGTCATCTCTTCTGGGATGCTTTTACCCACTCTTGCTCCCATGCCAGGCTGAATGGTTCCTTCTCTAGATCACTTAGCACATTGTTCTACACTTAGGTAAAAATCTATTCCCTTGCTAGAAAAGAGCTTTCCAAGACCTTTCTTTATTACCAAGACCTCCTTAGGCCTGACATGTGGTAGCTCAGCAAAATAAATGATTGCAAAATTACTGAAAAATTGCATCATTATCTTAAGCAATGGCAAAACTATTGTTTGGTAGCTGAGAACTCAACAACTAGAAAGCAAATTTTGCTAGATGAACAGATTTTCTTAATCTAACTGGAATGATTATAGAAGTAGTAGAAAAATAAACAGGAAAATGATAAGTAATTATGACAACATATAAAATGGCTGTGTTTTAGTCTGATGTTAGTATGATATTCTTTTTTCCCCTTGGATAAGTATTTATCTATTGGATATTGATAATTTCATATATTTTCTCATTAGAGCAAGTTATTCAGATGGAAAACTAAAAGCTCCTCCTAAACCATGTGCAGGCAATCAGGGGACCCAGATCACGGTAAGAATGGTAGATGGGAAAGTAAATTACTGAAAAAGAGCTTTGTATAAATATTGAAATAAAACATAAAATTGTCTGAGTTTTCAGAGTAATAATAAGATGAATTTTTATAGCTAATAGAAGCCCCAAGATATCACCCTCTAAGCAAGAGAAATGATTATCGGCTTTTGTGGCATGGCAACATGCTCCCCCTTGTTGTTTTGAAGGGGCTGGGAGATTCTTTATCAGTATGGCAGAAATCAGTGGCAGAGTAATTGGCAACGAAAGAAGATTAAGCTTGGTTTTAGAAGATGTAGGTTAGAGCCCCAGCCATTTCACTCAATGGTTGTGTGTCCAGAGGCAAATTACTTAACATTCCTTACCCTTAGTTTTCTTGTCTGTCAAATGGAACAAAGAATACTTGCCCTCTTGCCTTAAAGGGTGTTTGGTGAGACATGACTATATTTTTAGGCAGGAGGAAGTCCACCATGCTGCCTATGTCTATGGTGCCTCAGTTGGTCTCTTTCCATTCTGTGATTCCACAAAGCACCCCACTGTAATACTATGCATCCTGCCCCTCCACCTTCTTAGTCCCAGCTAGAGCACATCTCCCTGAAGGCCACTTTAACCTGCCTAACTCCCAGGCATGAGGAGACAGGCAGGAGACAGAAAAGAATGTGGGCTTCACAGTGCATGTTCAGAGATATCCTGTACCAGGGTTACCACAGTATGATTTTCAAGAACTCCAAATGATTTCAGAAGTTTTATGATTATTCTTTGTTTGAAAAATATTTTTGGATGCCATGTGCTATTATAATTGTTTGTAAATTTTCATGTGTGCCCTACTAATTCATATGCTTTCTTGAGCAAGATCATGCTTTATTTGTCTTCATATTTTCAGCACAAAGCAAAGAGCCTGGCATAGAGAGAGCCCCCAGTACATACTTGAGAAATCAATGAATGCATGTACGAGGCAGGAAAAATGTTCTTTAATTCCTTTGTTAATTCTGTCTTATCCCTTACTCCCTCCCCCAGTCAGGGATTAGAACTGTGCTATTGGTAAATATAATTGGATTCACTACCTTAAGACCCAGATTTATAGCTAGACAACTTGGGTTTTCATTTCCATGTGCTTCTATGAATTTATTAGAAAAATCAATCTTCTGTTCAGGTGGAGGACCTTTTTTACAACATATCCACGAGGAGGAAAGCTTTAAAACATCCAAGTGAAGAGTATGGGAAAATTTTGGAAGTTGTTGGCAGGTAACAGTCCAGAATCTGGGAGGTGGGTCTCTGAGATCTGTCACCAAAGGAATGTGTCCCAGCACTTATAAATTGAGAACAATTGCTAAGATTGGTGACAAACAGCAAGACTAGCTTACAAATTATTTCTGGTCAAGGTTTAGTCACCAATTCTGGGCTTTCTCTCATCTCTCCAGAAAAGAGCAGTTGGTCTTTCTTTATATTATGAGGTTCTTTGGTGGCAAGCAAAACAAACTGACTCTAGTTAACTTGAGCAGAAAAGAAATGTGTTAGAAGGCTAGGAGTTACTTACCAAGTGGAAAAAAGTATGGATAGCAGCTCCTTGGAGAGGGCAAGAATCAGAGTGCCTTCCAGGACTTAATGTCATGACCCTGCTCCAATTGTTTTCATTCTTTTCCTGACATTGCTTTAGAGTCTTTTTGCCGGGAGAGTATTTTGATTGGCATAGCCTGGGTCACACCATCATTACTCACATCTATGGGGAGTAGGTTTTTTGATTGACAATCTGACTAAGGGTGCATCAAGTGGAATGGGATAACAGAGGTAGTTTTCCAAAGGAAGATTAGAAGCTGTTTCTAGAAGGAGGAAAGGGGGTTTAGGGCAGGTGAAAACAATACCTTAATCTGCTGGTACAAATGGCTCTAGCATAGGCTGTCTAAACCCACATATCCTTGAATGTATTGAATAGGGGTGTGTTAATTATTTTTCATTATTTCTAAAAAATCTGAAATGAATCAAACATTTGCCCATAATAAAATGGCAAAGGCTCATACATCAAGTTTTTTGCTTTTTCCTGAAATTGTATGAATCAGTGTCAGAATATTCATTTACTGAAAATAAAGGCATTCTATTTTGGCTCTAGGTATGGTAAAGTGAGTTATTGTTACTTAATAAATTCAATTTGGTAGATATAGTCCTTCGGTTCATGCGGCCATGGAGGGAGGAGTAGTGAATAATGGCCAAACAAGAAAGAAGGGACAGAAAGAAGCCAGTGAAGAGTGGGGTGTATTAAGGGCTCTGACAGAGAATAGAAGTGTGTGGGTGTTGTGAGTGCTGGGTTTTCAAGGTGTCCTTGAGGCAAAACAGACCTTTTGGGACACTGAAAATAAAACTAAAGAGATGTGGCAAGATATCCTTGAGTCTAATCAGCAGCCTATAAAAGCAGAGGATATTGTTTTTTGTTTGATTGAGTCACATTAGCATTGATACCTCCATCAGGTCTGTTGGTTTATTTTTCTGCTAGTAAAATAGGATGTATTGAGATGTTTTTGTTTGTATATACCTTTGTTTAGATCACTCAACTCCACCAATTGATTTAACTACAAGGGGGCTCTGACATCTGTTGTATACTTGGCTACTCTTTACTTACCCTTTTGTTTTTCTTTTCCAGGTATTCAATACATAATTCGGGTATTAGTTTCTTGGTTAAAAAAGTAAGTTCTTGATTTATGGAGAATGGTTTTGTATTATGAAAAGAAAAGGGGGGATTTTTAACATATATTTTGCCTGTGGAGATATGGTTTATGATGTGTCAGTTACAACTGTGAGACAGTAACTGTCTGTATCTGTATCTTCTGTTCTGTTTATCAGCAAGGTGAAACAGTAGCTGACATTAGAACACTACCCAATGCCACAACCGTGGACAATATTCGCTCTATCTTTGGAAATGCTGTTAGTCGGTATGTTGATAAGATATATATAAAAAACCTTTTGCATTTCTTGTCTTGGTTTTTCATTCCATCACATCATTTTACAATCTGTCAAAATAGTACCTGTCTTAACAGTTTGCTTTAGTCAGATACACAGGCTTGTTTTTAGGCTTCAGATTCATTAATAGAGTCATTCATTCATATAATCAGTGCTTCCTGGGTGCATGTTATCTCCTAGATGCTGTGGCTGTAAATCAGTGTGTTCTCTCTAGGTCTTAGTCTTCAGAATATTTATAGTGTAGTAGAATTCTTTTATCCTCCAATGCTCCCTCTTTTCCTTGTGTTTCCATCATCATTTTAGGATTTAGTGTGTATCATTATTTAAAGGATTTAGTGTGTATCATCATTTAAAGTATGATGATACAAAGTAAAATGAAATCAGTTTAGGATTTCATTTATTTATCTATCTTTGAACATTTATTAGTTATCTCCCGTTCCAGGCTTTGTGCCAGAAGTTATTGGATATTAAGATAAATAAAATATTTCTTGCCCTTAAAGACTAGATTTGCAAGTGTCATCAAATATTCATGATCATAATAAGAGGGAAGTTGCTTGCATTATGGATTCCTCATTGTGCTCCCCTCCGTGTGTAAAATCCACCATTTCCATCACACATTCCTAGCTAAATCTCAAGATTTTTACAAAGCCCAAAGTGCCTATGTCATAATCTGAAAGGGAAAATGCTGAGACCCTTCCATATGCCAGGCATGCACCAGACACTGTGCATACACAGGTGACTGACACAGTCCCTCGTTTCACTTTTGCTAGAAATCGTAAAAGCAACAGCAGTTGTCCCAGAACCCAATCTTTACTTTGAAGAACAAATTATTTATTCTTTGAGCCAAATCAAATTCCTAATTAGAGAACAACCAGTTTGCTTTTAATTACCCTTTTCTTTCTAACTAAGTGTTAATGAATTAATTTTTTTTTTAACTGTGCTCCCAGAGTGAGCTTTTATAGTGTAACTTTTAAGAGCTTCTTGACTAAATTTTAAGACTCAGAATTAGTTGTTATGAAATTTAGAGGGACTGTATGAGATTAGAAATCCCCTGGAGCAGCATTTGCCAAAGCAGGTTTCCAGAACACTAGCCTTTTGAGACATTTTGGGGAAAAAGAGTTTGCTGATTCAGTGTGTAGGAAATGCTGCAAGCCATACCCTCCACTTAGAGATTCTGAGCACTACTGTATGAAAAGCTTCCCCCATCCAATCAGTAAACTCTTACTGAATGCCTGCTATTTACCAGGTGCAGATAGAAAAAAGCAGAAATGATTCTTGCCCTCAGACAACTTTCTAGTTGGAAAAACACATGAAATAATTCTGCCTTTCATTAGCAGGTTGTGCTAGATGCCTCAGAGGAAACATACAGTGAGTGATGAGAGAGTATCTGGGGTCAGAGAGAGGGATAGTCAGAGCAGGCTCTTTGAAGAAGTAATCATCGTTGAGATATGAGGGATAAATAAAAATTAACTAGCTGTGCAATAGGTTAGCAGTAGAGATTTCCAGGCAGAGGGACCAGCACCTGGAAAGAAATGTGTGGCTTGTCTGAAGACTTCTTTTCTACTTACTAACCTCCCCTCCCAAATAAACACGCTCTGGGGAACACCACACAGGAACCACATCGTGGTGTTATTCAGTATAGTAATTCGGCAGAGATGAGTTTTTGGATCTCGTCTTTGAGAGATAATTACTAAGATACATGGAAGTTTCAGCAAAATAAGGTCTCAGAGCTTGTACTCATTGTTAAATCCCAATAATTAAAGCAGTGCCTGGCATATAGCATAAGTGCTTGAAAACACTGACTGCGTAGATAGGTGGGTGGATAGATGGATGGATGGGCAGATGAGTGGGTGTGGGGGTGCATGAACAGATAATGGATAGGTGGATGGGTGATCCCAGAGGACCTTAATTAACCAAGTCTCTGGGGTCCTCATTTGGCAAAGTTAGTTTATGGGAAGGAGCCCTATGTCTTCTCATTCTGATTCTTTTATAATATTTGAGTCTTCCAGTGTTTTCAAAAGCTTTGAAATTTCTCTTTTCTAACCAGAGAACTGATAGAAGTTGGATGTGAGGATAAAACTTTGGCCTTCAAAATGAACGGCTACATATCCAATGCAAACTACTCAGTGAAGAAGTGCATCTTCTTACTCTTCATCAACCGTAAGTGAAAAGGAACCAAATGGGGAAATCCATCCACAGAGAATTTTATGGGACCCTGGAAAAATTCCTAATCCACAGGTTTGATTATACACAGGGAAACCTCATGCCAAAGTTTGGTTTGATTAGGAGGTATTTATAAATTTTTTTTTCCAAGTCTGTACTTAGCCTTTAAATACATGTTGTTACAGAGACTGGTTCTCAACTCTAAGAGGAAGCCAAGGGCATCACAGGCCCCTGTGAGCCAGTACACCTTCCTCTTTTGCTGACATAGGAGGCTTTATAAGCAGGCCCAGGCACAGCAAAGCTCTGCCCTTAGAGCATGGGCCACTGTTTGAAATTGGACAGCAGGACACAAGAGGGCTACCTTGGGTATGGATATTGTCATTAAACTAAAGAAATTGAATGCTAAGCCCTTTTTGAGAGTTTTCTTTTAAAAAAAATGAGATATATGATGCAAAGAACAGTTCCAGAAATTAGGAAGGAAATTAACTAAATGAATTTGGATTTTTCTCAAATTCCCTTCAAGTCCTTATCTCTCTGCTGACATATGTTTACATGATAGTCACTTACAAAGTAAGTACTATTTTGCATTGTTTCTTATAACTTAATTGTATATTACAAGGTTTTGATAGTGATAGAGCAATAGCAAATAATCCCACAGTCTGACACTTCTTCATTTTTCATTCAGAAACAAGATGCATCTTTCCAAATGTTCAGTTTTCATCCTTTTTATCTTATGAGTTCTATCTTTATTTTTAAAGCATTTTGTAATAATTTTATATTAATATTTTTGCTTTGTTTGCTATTGGAAATGGTTTATTCCCTCCTTCTCTGTATAGCAATAACTGGATATAAGTGTCTCAAAATATGCATGTTTTACAGCCGTGTTCAGAGCAATGCAGGAACAGTGCAGAGAGAGCCAATCATTTTACAGACACATTCTGTTAAACTGATTTATATTAGCAAGATTATTTCCTACTTCATTAAGAAGGACTGATATATAACAAAGCCTGATACATAACAAAGCTTGTTTTAATCAAGGCTCAAAATATGTTTTTCAGTCATTTTTTTCTAACCGTGAAGAATATCTGCTTCATAACACATACATTGGCTATAGGGTAGACAGACAAAGTCACTGTAAGTGCTGTCTAGACTGGCCTCTGTCGGGGTTTCCATGGGGGCTGCATACCACAGTCTCTGCATTCCCATTAGCTAATCTGTCCACGATGCCAAGTTCCCAATAGCAAAGACAGGTCAGACTCTTAAGCATGCCATTCAGTTATCTACACACTGTGCAGGCTCACTCAGGTGGCAGGGACAAAGAACACTCCTTGAGCTTGTCTGGAGCTCAGAAATCTCAGCAGAGGGGCTCCAACTGTGCTTTTGTTAGGGACCCACACCTACTCCAGGCCTGTGTGGTCAGGACACGTGTTACAGGGTACAGTTACATTATTGAAGGGGCCGTGGATGTGGTGAGCATTCAAAGAATAATAGTCTCCTTGCTGATAAAATTATGGCCACTCTTCTTGTTGGAAATAAAAAGACGTGACATACCCTTGGCTACAGTGACACGGGACAGCAGATCATCAACAGGTCATCTAAAACCTGTCTAGAAAGAAGGGAGAGCTATGTTTTCTCAGAATACATCTTTCACTGGTTTTAGGCTTCTGTCTCCCAGCCTTTATTGTTTTCTGCCCTCTCCAAACCTGCCTCATTTCCTAAATTGCCTTAAACACACATACAGGCATTTGTACTGCCTGAAGGTCTGGAATACTCATCCTTCAGTACTCAGTGTGGATGCACCACTGTTGGAACTCCCTGAGCAGAGTCAGTTGCTCCCTCATCTCACCATATAGCACAAACCCCTCTATAATAGTGCTGACCACTTGGGGTGGGAATTAGTTTATTCACCACTGTATTGTCTCCCAGCACTTGGCACATGTGATAGCCAGTATGTATTGCAGAATGAAAAGTCTGAGAGCTGATGTCATACTTCCCATTGTGCCCAACAAGGGCAAAGCTAGTCCCACATGGGCTGATGGAGGGGAAGGGAAGTAGGGAGGCAGAATTTATTGTCCTATCATGTTTTCTGCTACTTAGCTGAAAGGAGAGAGTCCCAAGCCCATAGTGAGATGCTGGGAAGTGGTAGCAGGTAAAGGGGGCCCTTTCTTCCTGGGGATATGATGTGCACATCATTCTGGATCCTTTCCTCCTCAGGTGATTTTGTGGCTTGACATGAATGTGCATCTGTGATCTCACCCCTCTGGACAGTTTTGAACTGGTTACTTCCTTTTTATTTTTTAGATCGTCTGGTAGAATCAACTTCCTTGAGAAAAGCCATAGAAACGGTGTATGCAGCTTATTTGCCCAAAAACACACATCCATTCCTGTACCTCAGGTAACGCAGAATCAAAATCCTCACCCAAGACTCACAGGAACAGAAATTCTGTGAGGCTTTCCTGTTTGAAAGAGATGGCCTAGCTTCTTTAATAGCCCAGTCAGAGTAGATCCCACACACCAGTGCCAAAGGATGTTCTGTCCCTTCTCACAGGTAAAAGGCACATTACTCCCTAATTTAGCAGAACCTCACTGAGAGCCTCCCAGGTGCCAGCCAGCTTCATGTTCGGGACACAAAGGTGAATGACGTGTCTCGTCCTTCTGGAGTGGTTGGTAGCCATTGGTCCAAGGAGAGACAGGGATGTGCTCAGAAGGCTCTGGATATTATTTCTGCCAGGGTCAATCAACGAAGCCAAAAACAGCTTTTTCCTTCCATGAAAGACAGTCTTCTGCTCTATGGAGATTCTCATCTTAGCCTCTCCATTGTTGATATGCCAAGAGTTTCACTAAAATAATTTAGCAGTCATAAATAATTTAGCATTTGCATCAAACAGACTAAACCCCATAGTAGGTATTTGAAATACAGAATAAATATGAGATACTCCTGCTCTAAAGAAATTTAGTCTAGGGGCTGACTTAATGGAAGATGTTCTTTGCATTGTTTCTGGTTCTACTACTAGCGTGTCTATTTCACATTCTTAGCATTTTTATCATAGTATGACAAAAGATCACTCTCTTAGTAACAGGGCTGTTATTTGTACAGGGCATGGTTCTTATTAAAATGTCTTAAGTCTGAAACCCTCTGAATTGAAATTATGTTAATTTCTCTTTGTTTTAGTCGTTTTTATTTTTATTTTTTTTTTAAGTGATGGAGTCTTATTCTGTCACCCAGGCAGGAGCACAGTGGCATAATCAAAGCTCACTGCAGCCTCGTACTTTTGGGCTCAAGTGATCATCCCACCTCAGCCTCCCAAGTAGCTAGGGCTATACGTGTGAGCCACCACAGGTGACTTCTTTGTTCTAGTTTTGATTGAACTGGAAAGGGAGTATGTGTGTAAAAATTGTTGTTAAAGGTAGTTTTTAGATTAAATGTAGAATTTCTGACTTGCTCTTGTTTTCCCTTGCAAAGTAATTAACTGGTCAAGTTATCACTCTGTTCCTTCTCTATATTAGTCAGAGTCCAAACAGGAGATAGAGACTATATAACATTTTTAACAGGGAGAGTTTAATATAAAGAATTACAAACAGGGGATTAGAGGAATCGGAGATTGGATAGTAAGAGGTGAAGACAGGAATAGCCAATATAATGAGCAGCCATTACCCGTCACCACACTCAGAATGTGGATGTCAGCGCCCTGACTGAGATGCAAACCTTATTGAGAGAATGCAGCTGTGGCTCACTGCATGGTGGGGAAGTCGATGAGGCGTGCTTCCTGGCATCATTAAGGGAGTGCTGGAGGGAACTGCCCACAAGTAGGGGCCATGTGCTGCTGGCAGCCTGTGCAAAGGAACTTGCAGAAGTCTGACAGAAACAAGTGTGCCCTAATTTGGCATAGAAACCCCTTCCTCCTCCAGTGTCCCTCCAGCTCTTTGCTGACAAAGCTTCACATTGCAATGCTCCACTATCACAGCAAGCAATGAAAGATGGACTCGGAGTGAGGAAATACATTGATATTAATAGCTGGCATTGCCTCTAAACTGACTTATGTATTACATTTTAATGCTATAAGGTACTCTTGCAAATATTATTGTTTTGATCCTCATGTAATACTGAAAAGTAAGTAGGAAACCTGTGTTCATGGTTCCAGATGAGAAAACAAATCCAGAGAAGCTAAGTGCCCTACCCAAGGTCATGTGATAAGAAATTCCACTCATTCTAAAATGAAGATAATTATAGCTAACATGTAATAAATGTGTCAGGTACATCCAAAGTGCTTCACATGAAGTTAGTCCCCACCATAAACCTGAGATAGGTAATGCTATTATGTCAACTTTACAAATGAAGAAACTGAAGCAAAGAAAGATGGTATAACTTACCCAAAGCTACACAGCTCTTAAGGAGCAGAGCCAATATTTGAACACAGTCACTTAGACTTGATCTTGAGGTTTTGACCGCAGTGTCATTTGGCGCCCCCAAGCCTTCTGGCCATTGCACATACCATGTGTAGATTTTTCCTCCCATCTCCCACCAGCTAAGGTAATTGTTCTCTTTTTGTTCTGCCAGTTTAGAAATCAGCCCCCAGAATGTGGACGTCAATGTACACCCCACAAAGCATGAAGTTCACTTCCTGCATGAGGAGAGCATCCTGGAACGGGTGCAGCAGCACATTGAGAGCAAGCTCTTGGGCTCCAACTCCTCCAGGATGTACTTCACCCAGGTGAGGGCATTTCTCACCCAGCTGTTTCTCCAGTGCCTTTGCCACTTTGAAATGTGCCCTGTCAGACATGAGAGCCGAGATTTTTGCCTGTTACTTTAGAACTTTCTTTGCAAGTATTACTTTGGTAACTTTCTTTCTTTCTTTCTTTCCTTTCTTTTCCTTTCCTTTCCCTTTCCTTTCCCTTTCCCTTTCCCTTTCCCTTTCCCTTTTCCTTTCCCTTTCCCTTTCCCTTTCCTTTCCTTCAGACTCCACGATCTCTAACAAATCTCTCTTTTTTTTTTCTGAGACACAGTCTCACTCTGTTGCCCAGGCTAGAGTGCCGTGGTGTCAGCCTAGCTCACAGCAACCTCAAACTCCTGGGTTCAAGCCATCCTACTGCCTCAGCCTCCCAAGTAGCTGAGACTACAGGCATGCACTACCATACCCGGCTAATTTATTCTCTCTATATATTAGTTGGCCAATTAATTTCTTTCTATTTATAGTAGAGACAGGGTCTCGCTCTTGCTCAGGCTGGTTTTGAACTCCTGACCTTAAGCAGACCACCCGCTTTGGCCTCCCAGAGTGCTAGGATTGCAGGCGTGAGCCACCATGCCCGGCCAGTAGTTTTCTTATATTTATTGTTATTTATTTATTTAGAGACAGGTTCTTCCTATGTTGTCCATGCTGGTCTCAAACTCTGGGCTCAAGCAACCCTCCGGCCTCATCATCCCATGTAGCTGGGACTGCAGGCACAGGCCACCATGCCCCATCCTGATTATTTTCTTTTAGGAATATTTTCTTCTTTGAACCTAATTATAAAGGTATTGTGCCATTGATCCTGGGCCTAGAGTCATGAGGCCTGAGCTCATTTTCTGATTTTGTCTCCATCTGAAACTTTAGACCAACTTCCTAGGAAACAAGCCATCTGAAAATGGGATAAGGTATTCCTTCAGTATGTTCTTCTCCACTGAAGATGTTCAGGAGGAAGCTGGTCCCACCTACACAGGGCAGAGTAGAGGGGCTGGGTTCCAGGGAGCAGTGGGAAGAGTGGAAAGAGCAGGGGCTTTAGTATCAGAGCTATTTTATCAGCCATGTGACAAACCTTCCCTGGCCTCCATGTCTACCTCAGTAAAGATAGAACTGGTCATCCCCACATCCAAGGACAGTTACAAGCAGTAGGTGAACAGTGAACAGAAAGTGTCTGATACGAGGCCTGGCACTATTCATCTTATTATAATTGTCCAGGTTCTAAGTGCCTATAATTCTAAGTTACTTCCCTTCCCTGGGGCCATGGTTATCCTAAGCAGGTTAGATAATATGCTCTCCAGTCTGCCTTCCCAGTTCTAAGATGATGTGGTTCTGGGCAGCCCTTTATTCAGGGTGAGGGTATGTTTGCCAAAACTACAAAAATAGAAATATTTTCTTGTTACGTTACACTGGATCCTACAAGCTGAAAGTGGGCTTCTGTGAGACTATATTTCTTAGAAAACTTTTTAAATCACCAAGCAGATGAATGTTTTCCATATGAAAATTCAGCTACCCACCTGGAAAGAGCCTGGGTGGGAGAAGGCATGGGGACTAAGCAGTGAGAGAGCAGGGCAGCACCACTGCCCTGGAACCCACACACCTGAAGATGTTAGGACAGAGAGGGAGTGAGTCCCCACAGGCTGCTACTGATGACACCTGACAGGGGTATGTGGCAGGTAGGCAGAAGGGAGTTTTGCCTAGAAACCAGCTCTCATTCCTCTGTTACTTTTGATAAGCCCCTGGTACCAACATGAGTCCCAGGTCTTAGAGGTAATAAGTGCACCAGGCCTTGCAGTGCCCACAGACAAGATGAGCCCACATATGTCTCCAGTGAGGGTTACTATGTCTAGTGTGGTTAGTGCCCTTGGAGCAGTATCTGATACATAGGAAGTGCCCGAGAAATATTAGTTGCTTTGAAATCTGTTGCTTGCTTAGCCTCAGTGCCCCTTTATTGCTCCTCTTACTCTGTCTCCTTCACAAATATGCATTGAGACTCTTCTGTGGGACTGCCCTGTGTTGGGTACCTGGGGTTGCAGCTTAGATGTTCCTGCCTTCACAGAGGCACTCACGGTGTCCTAGAGAATCCATCCCATGAGAGAGAAAAGCAGACTCAGGGGAGTGTACAGGAGCGGTTCCTTTCCTGCCCTTGGGCAGTCAGGGAAGGGAAGGATGGGACATGGATGACGGGACCTGAAGGCTCAGTAGGAGTTTGCTGGGCCAAAGGGGAGGGGGAATGAGAGTGTTTCAGGCAGAGGAAATGGCAAGGACAAAAGCCTGGGGTGCAAGACAACATGTGTTTGAGGGTCTAAAAGTTCAGTACAGTGGATCTGATGTTCTCCACCCCCTGGCTGCCATTAGAATCACCTGGAAAGCTTTGAGAAAATACCAATGTCTGGGTCCTCCCCAAACCAATCATTCTTGGGTGGTGGGGCCGGAGCAGGTGCTGTCATGTGCAGCCCAGGGTTAAGCCGTGGTGGCCCTACTTAGGGGGTGGCAGTGATGGAGTTGAAGTGGAATAGTTCAGACCAAATGGAGGGGTTTTCATTTCATCAAGATATTAAAGAGTTTAGATTTCAACTTGGCGGGAACTGATGGGATCTGATTTGCATTTTACGAAGAGCTCTCTGGTTGCAATGTCAGAAGTGGATTGAAGAGGAGCAAGGTGGAAACTGCAGTGATTTGGGAAAAGTTGTGAGCAGGCCAGGATATGAGAAGTAGCTCCATTCACTAATAGTTGAGAATTTAGTATTGCAGGACCTGGAAGTGGCCTGGCTGATGGGAAGTGAGAGGAGAGGGCCAAAGTGTGAGATGAAGATGCACAGCATATGGCCTGGCCCAGAGTGACAGCCCTTTGCTCTGTCCCAATTGAGGTCCAAAAGAAGAGATTTGGGCTGGGTGCAGTGGCTCACGCTTGTAATCCTAGCACTCTGGGGGGCCAAGGCGGGTGGATGGCTTGAGGTCAGGAGTTCGAGACCAGCCTGAGCAAGAGTGAGACCCCATCTCTACTAAAAATAGAAAGAAATTAATTGGCCAACTAAAAATATATAGAAAAAATTACCCAGGCATGGTGGCACATGCCTGTAGTCCCAGCTACTTGGGCGGCTGAGGCAGAAGGATTGCTTGAGCCCAGGAGTTTGAGGTTGCTGTGAGCTAGGCTGACACCACGGCACTCTAGCCTGGGCAACAGAGTGAGACTGTGTCTCAGAAAAAAAAAAGAGAAATTTGTTAGAGATCGTGGAGTCTGTGGCTCCATAGGGAAAAGAACCTCTCAGCATGCCTCATCTTATCTTGGATGAGTCAGATTCATTTAGTTAGATTACATTTTATTTTCCAATAAAACTTTCATAGTCCTGACCAGTGTGTCTTCAGAAGGAAAGTGCATTTCTGAATCAGAGGCCTACCTCTGTTGGTATGGTGACGCCGGTTTTGCGGGCACCTTGCTACCATAAAGCATTGTTGTGGGTGGTGAGATCCAAGCTTAGAGCTGTTCCTGTTCCTACAGGTTGTTTAGAATACCTTCTCTTCATGCCAACAGCAGGTCACACTGGCTCCTGACTTTTGGGCCATGGAGTCATCTTTCTGGTCCCCAGCTTGTGTCTTGCCCTCCAGTGCCCAGGGCCAGGACATCAAAAGCCCTGGTTTGCAGTGAATCCATTTGGTATGGAAATCAGGAACCATGGGGATTCTTGCAGATGTGTTCCAACTCTGTCATATTGGATAAGGCATTTCACTTTCCCAGACTTTAAAATTATAGTCTGCAAAGTAGTTGTTATGTTAATTTCTGCTTCCCCAAAACCCACTTGTTGATATTGCAAAGGCAAATGAAGTAAATGTATTTCAACAGTCTTAAATTGTCCTGGAGGAAAAAGGCTTTACCTTTTTGAACAGAGTTGCTACTTTATTTAACTTTTTATTATGAATAGTTCTAAGTACTCATAAAAGTAGATAATACAACAAATATCTATATGCTTCTCACGCAGCTTCAGCAACTGTCAGCATTTTACTATATTTATTTTTTCAGTCTCTCCTCTACTTGGGGTCGGGAAAGGAGTATTTTAAAGCATATTCCAAACAATTATTTCTTCCCTTGTACCTCATTCATCTAACAATATTTTTTCCTTAGATAATCACAATGTTATTTTACACCTAGTAAAATTAATAGTAAGTGTATCATTTAATATCCAATCCACATTTAAATATCTCAGTTATCAGAAAAAGATCTTTTATAGTTTTGTTCGAATCTGTATTCTGTCAAGTTGTACTCATTATATTTGGTTATGTCTCTTAAACATCTAAGTCTTTGAAGCTAGAAGTCACTCTAACTTTTTTTGTTATTTCCATTGGCCCTGTGCTTTCTATCATGATCCAGCAGGAGGCGCATAATGACTTGTTATGTCATTATGGTGATAAGCTTCATCAATGGGCTCAGTTGGTGACAGCCTGGTTCCCTCATTGTAAAGTTACCCATCACCATTTAGCTTAATGGTTTCACCATTCATCGATGACAGATTACCCAAATCAGTTATCTCATTAAATCACAAGATTATGATTTTCTGATTTTATCATTTTTTTCTGTATTCATTGTCTATAATTCTTTTGTATAGAAGAACTTTCCCTCATTTGTTAGAACTATTTGGTTATCCCGAAACATAGTTCATCCTAGAAAGTAAGGCCAAATGCTGAATTCTGTCTCTTTAGTTACCAGTTTTCAAAGGAATGAGTTGGTGGCCTAGCAGTTTCCAGTGGTGTTGAATGACTTTTTCTTTTCTCTTTCTCCTTCTCTCTTCCCCTCCATGACTCTTTCCCTCTCTCCTCACTTTCCCTTTTGCTCTTGCTCAGTATTTTGTCATTGCTATTAATAAAGCAACACAGTTTAATCAATTTAGTTATTTTTCTTTTTATGCTCAAATTATTTCATCTCAGTCCAATGGAAGCCCCTTGAAGCTGGTGCCTTCTACCTTTTGACCCAATTCCATTAGTCTTGATAATTTCCTTGATTCTGGCAAGACAAGATGTTGGAGGCATACTTTATACTTTGCTAGTCCAATACTGGAACTGGCCGTTTCTCCAAGGAGCCGTTGATTTTAGTGGGAACGGTAGAGACTATAATCTGGGATCTGGGGGTCCTTATTGCTACTTGGTAGTCATTGCTTTTAGGTGTTTCTGGGGACAGAGCTGGGAAATATGTATATTTAAAAATAGACAGTTGAATACTCATTGCCAGGAGCTAGGAGGAGGGGGAAATGGGACATTATTGTTTAATGGGCACAGAGTTTCAATTTGGGGAAGATGAAAAAGTTCTGGAAATGGGTGGTAGTGATAATGTGAATGTACTTAATGCCACTGAACTCTCACTTAAAAGTGATTAAAAGGGTAAATTTTATGTTATATTTTACCACAATAAAAAAATAAAGTCTCTTATGGCAGCAAAATAAAATAGACAAAAATTTAAGAATCTTGTGCTGATATTTCCATTTAGGCATATTTTAAGATTGTAAGGATTTTTGCTTAATTCTTGAATTTTTTTTTTTTTTTTTTTGAGACAGAGTCTTGCTTTGTTGCCCAGGCTAGAGTGAGTGCCGTGGCGTCAGCCTAGCTCACAGCAACCTCAAACTCCTGGGCTCGAGCGATCCTTCTGTCTCAGCCTCCTGAGTAGCTGGGACTACAGGCATGCGCCACCATGCCCGGCTAATTTTTATATATATATATCAGTTGGCCAATTAGTTTCTTTCTATTTATAGTAGAGACGGGGTCTCGCTCTTGCTCAGGCTGGTTTTGAACTCCTGACCTTGAGCAATCCGCCCGCCTCGGCCTCCCAGAGAGCTAGGATTACAGGCGTGAGCCACCGCGCCCGGCCAAATTCTTGAATTTTATATGTAAACCTTTCATTTTATATTCCAAAGTTCAGTAAGAATTCCTTCTGTAGTAATAATTCTATAATCATAACTATGCCTGTTCTGGTTCTAGCTTCTTTCTCCAATACTGCTCCTTTTGGGGACCTGCACATCTATACTTAGTATTCTGAGTCACCCCACCATCTTCTTTTTTGATACAGACTTTGCTACCAGGACTTGGTGGCCCCTCAGGGGAGGTGGTTAAATCCACAACAAGTCTGACCTCATCTACTTCTGGAAATGGTGACAGAGTCTATGCCCACCAGATGGTTCGTACTGATTCACGGGAACAGAAGCTCGATGCTTTTCTGCAGCCTCTAAGCAAGCCCCTGTCAAGCCAGCCCCAGACCATCGTCCCAGAAGATAACACAGATGTTTCTAGTGGCAGGGCCAGGCAGGAAGATGAGGAGATGCTTGAACTCCCAGCCCCTGTCGAAGTGGCTGCCAAGAATCAGAGCTTGGAGGGGAATGCATCAAAGGGGACTTCAGAAACAGCAGAGAAGAAAGGACCCACTTCCAGCCCAGGCAACCCCAGGTATGGCCTTTGAAAAGTGCCACTTGCCTCCTTTGCTCTATAATAAAACTGCCTTCTAACTTTGGCTTTTCATGAACCATTTGCATTTCTCTCTGCCTGACCTGCCCTCCACTAGGATGGGGCTGTGGTCTTCACTAGGATGGGGCTGTGGCCTTGTCCACTGTTTGCCTTTGACCATGGCTTTAGCGTCACCCACCATGGTATTCTTTGAAATGGTTTAAATGTCCATAGTTCCAGGCATTAGTTAAAAATACATTAGACTGGGCCGGGCGTGGTGGCTCACGCCTGTAATCCTAGCACTCTGGGAGGCCGAGGCGGGCGGATTGCTCGAGGTCAGGAGTTCAAAACCACCCTGAGCAAGAGCGAGACCCCGTCTCTACTATAAATAGAAATAAAATTAATTGGCCAACTAATATATGTAGAAAAAAAAAATTAGCCAGGCATGGTGGCGCATGCCTGTAGTCCCAGCTACTTGGGAGGCTGAGGCAGGAGAATTGCTTGTGCACAGGAGTTTGAGGTTCCTGTGAGCTAGGCTGACGCCACAGCACTCACTCTAACCTGGGCAACAAAGCGAGACTCTGTCTCAAAACAAAAAAACAAAAAAAAACATTAGACTTTGGAGTAGTAGTCCAAATGAATTAAAAAAAAAAAAAAAACTGGAAAAAAGCAGATTTATCTTTTATTTTTAGTAAAGAATTTTGATAAAACCTCAACCCCAGACATGGCAAGAGAGAGAAGCCTAAAATATCCCAAGGGTTATCCATCTTACCCAAAGCTGCTTTTACTTCTTTCCAAAGAAACACACTTTCTGAATCCAATTTGTAAAACGCCCTGAAGTATGGGAGCTAGCAGTGAAAGGGAGCTACAGAAAAGGGGCGGGAATGGTACTAATAAAGGGTGTCATTTAAATTTGAACATTTCCGGTGTACTCTCTGTAGGTACTCTAAGACGTTGTCTTACTGAGCTCGGTAAAGTAGATATTCTTTATTTAATGTGTACTCATATTAACCTGGAGCTCAAGTGAAGTCATTTGCCCAAGGCTGCACGGACGTGATATGTGACAACCAAAACCCGTGACATTACCTGGCCATTGAACTTGGACTAGTTACTTAACTCCAATTTGCTCATTTCTGAATCAGCCTAGCAAGATGACTTCTAAGAATTTTTTCCAGAAAATAATAAAGGAGGCTAATATTTATTGAGCACCTACTGTGTGCCAGATACATACATTCTCTCATTTAATGTTCTTTATAGCCCTGCAGGGAAAGTATTATATTTGTTTATTACTTGGGGAACTAAGTGATATTTACCACACTGGAAAGGAATTTTTTAAATTCAAAATCAGATTGTATCACTCTTCTGTTGAAAATTTTTCAGTGGCTTCCCATTACACTTGGGATAGAACCTAAATCCTTCCCCCTGCCCTCCTTCCAGCCCTCCACTTTCCTTCTCCCTCGTGGTGCTTTGCATGAGCATGCCTCGGGTGACTAATCTGAACTGACTGAGCTTCCCACCCTCTTTGCCCTTGAATTTCCCTCAGCCTAGGAAGGCTCTGGCTTCTTGTTACTCAATTCTCAACTCAAATGTCATCTCTTGCCAGAGGCCTTCTTTGTCCATTTAGTCTAAAGTTCCCTCTCCTCTCACCTCCCCATTGTTCTATCATGTTACCTTGGTTTTTTTTTTTTCTCGTATTTACCACTACTTAAAATAATCCTTGTCTGTTGCTTTCTCTCCCACTAGAAGGTAAGCCTTGTGAGGGCAGGTGTGCCACGTCGGTTTTGTTCATTGCTGTTTGTAGTTGGTATGAAACAGTGTCTGAAGGGTGGATAGGTGGGGGAATGAATGAATGAGACTTGACAAGGTCAGCTTTCTTGCTCAAGGCCCTGCAGCTCTGTAGGACAAAGCTAGACTCCAGATTCCTACTTTGGCTGGCTGTGTGGCCAGTTGCTTGGATCTGGGGGTTGTCAGATAAGCAGTGTGCTGGAGAACAGACTGATAAAGTTACTCCCTTTTCCAAAATGCAACACACAAAATTTGGCTAAGTTTAAAAATAAAAAAAGAATACTAACGACCTGCCAGTGGTTCCTTTTTTTCATTGCAGAAAGAGACTTCGGGAAGACTCTGACGTGGAAATGGTGGAGGATGATTCCCGAAAGGATATGACCGCAGCTTGTACCCCCCGGAGAAGGATCATTAACCTCACCAGTGTTTTGAGTCTCCAGGAAGAAATTAATGAGCGAGGACATGAGAGTACGTAAGTGCTGAGGCCTGCCTGGGATTCTGGGCCTAAACTGCTAACCTTAGGGTTATGGAAATGCAGGAGGCATTCAGGTTGTCAGAGTGGCCACTACAGTGTGCTAGGAAAACCTCTCTTCCTTTACTAACTCAAAATAACATCAGCTTAAGGACAATTTTTAATTAGGAGAGAAGGGGGAAAATAGTCTCTTTGTTTCAGTTAGAATTAATTGGTATTCTCGTTAAACCATAGGAGTCAGAGTAAAGCAGTCATTTCAGTAATTTCAGTTTGTTTCTGTCTTAGCAGCATAGTAATGATCACCAAAATTCTTATCCTATGGAATGAATGGCATGTGCTATTGCTGAAAGTGCACAGGCTTGGGAGATAGCTGTGAGTTCAGATCCTGACACTACCACTTTTATTGTGTGACCTTAGACTCATGACCTAAACTTTTCATGCCTCAGTTATTTTTTTTTTCTCATCTGTAAAATAGGATTAATTTTACCCTTAAAGGTCATTGTGCTCATTAGAGATAAAATGTAAATAAAACACTTATTACAGAGGAAAGAGTCAATAGATGTTTTTATATCCTAAAGATAAAGTTAAATTATTATCATCTTCATCAGAAATAGCTTTTGAGAATACCTGAATATAGAACTCCATCTTGGGATAGACTGACTCAGGGACTGAGGTGTATAGTGGCAAATTGGCCCTCATAGCCAATTTACCCCTCCTTACCCCATCCCACTTTATGAGTCAGACAGTAATGTTCCAAATGTAGACATCATTGCCCGAGACTCCAGTTGGCAGCTCTGCACTTGAGTCTGCATAATTTACCCATGACCTTTCTATTTTTCATCTATTATGCATTTCTTCATTAAAATAGTCAAATTTCAACACTGTTACAAAGTATATCTCAAAATATGACAATCTGGATTGATTTTTAAAAGAAAATGAGTAGCTAAGGAGCAATCTGTATCTTTGTCACTAATCCTTAACCTTTTAAACTAGCTGCTTCTGACTCAGTGGCCTCTTAAATTTTTTTCTGTCTCAGTTACTGCTTGTCTGAGCTAATTCAGGAAGACATAAGCTTGCCTTTCCCTGTTCATGCTCTTCTCTTAGCGTCTGGGCCTTTGTTTACATGTGGGAAAAGGTACATAGGTTGTCTCTCCACTTGGGCAGGATAAAAACTTCCTGTAACTAAGTATTTGCCAGTTGTAGAAGTGGCTGCCAATTGGCTTCTGGTTTTTATTTCCATGAAGATTTGCTCCAGTTGCTAACTTTCCCTCTGTTTTTAGCTTTCAAGCTGGGAGCTTTTAAAGCAATTTTAAATAATATAAGAAAGGTTGGCTGTTACTTGATTTATTTAACAGTCTTCCTGAGACTCCCTCAGATTTGGAATTTACTGAGTTTTTTTTTTTTTTCCTTCGGATTAGATCAAACAGAAGAAATTACTGAGTTTTCCTTAAGGGTTTGTCTCCCTCATCCAAAGCAGGCTGTTTAAAGTTATAGCTTTAATAAATCTTTAAATAGAATCAAACTGTTTTCAGTGCAACGTAAAACCAACCTACATCAAGTTTGGTCAGGTTTGGAGTCTTGCCGAAGCTAAGATGATAAATCTAAATGGTTTAAAATTGTATATTCATACAAGTTATCTCATTTAATTATAGAATAGTCTTGTGAGGGAGGCAGAGCAGATGCCGTTACCTCTATTTTAAAGATGAGCAAGGTGGAATGGAAGAGAGAGGACAGATTAGTTGCAGCATCCCAACAATCAAAAACAGGCCAAGGCCAGGCGCGGTGGCTCACACCTGTAATCCTAGCACTCTGGGAGGCCGAGGCGGGCGGATTGAGCAAGAGCGAGACCCCGAAATTAATTGGCCAACTAATATATATACAAAAAAAAAAATTAGCCGGGCATGGTGGTGCATGCCTGTAGTCCCAGCTACTTGGGAGGCTGAGGCAGCAGGATTGCTTGAGCCCAGGAGTTTGAGGTTGCTGTGAGCTAGGTTGACGCCACGTCACTCACTCTAGCCTGGGCAACAAAACAAGACTCTGTCTCAAAAAAAAAAAAAAAAAAAACAGGCCAAAGTACATGCCTTGTTGGTGGTGGCTTGTTACTGGCAATAGCCTTCACACAGAAAGTCTAGCTCAGTGTTTATCAGGACATGCACGCCATGTGATTCTGATCCCATAGACAGCAGCTAGTGTTTTCAAACATGCCAGGGTAAGGTCTCACAGGGGACTAGCTGTCCTAGATGTGGGGAATAGAGTGAGCACTTGCTTCAGAGCCAGAGAACTCTGGACATGGACATGAGGACTTAGACGACTGGTTGCCCTTCTTTCAGGTTTGGTTTTGCTTACTGCTTCTCAGAAAACATGTTGAGACCCAAGGCCTTGGTTGTGAACTCAGATGTGTGGTGTGGCTTTGAAGCACAGAAGGATTTTGTCCCATTTTGCTGTTCACAGAGTGGCAGAGAAATGCTTACATACTAAGGCTATGGGGACATTTAGGTTAGGGATGAAACGTTTGCCACCTACACCATTCAGTGCCAGTCAGAAATTTGTTCACTTTTGGGGCATGATTTTCCTGTTCTATAAAATGTGCTACCACTACAGCATTATTGAGCCGTTGTGATGAACACATAAGAAGATACCATGTGCATGCTTGGTAAGCTACAAGGCACTGCTCAAGGGGAGGGACCTCTGCCATGGGCCCTGCCCACTGGCACCTGGTTTACACCATAATCCCAAACTGGGGTAAGCTGATTGTCTCTGAGTTGACAGTTATACAGAGATTCGTGTGAGGCTCAGATTTGGTGAGAAGTGCCACTAACCTTAACGGAAACAGCAGCCTGGCTGCTCCTTGATGAAGTCGTTCCCCTTGGCTAGGAAAGAAGTAAGAGATACTTTCCTTGTAACAACATTCGTAGTTTTGTTTATTTGTGTGATTATTTCATCAGTGTGTTATCTATGCAGGGATCGTGTCTAATTTAGTTTACCACCTCATCCCAGCAGAGTTCTGGCTTGTGTACTTAGTAGGTATTTGCTAAAGGAGTGAGTAAATGATTTGAGAGGAGCAACCTGGGAGATGAAGCTCTAGAATGTTTATCCTGAAGGGAATCAAACACTCAATTAGACAACTATCTTGAGTCTGGGGATTTACCCATCCCTGCTGGGCACACTTCAATTAACAAGTGAGGTAATTTTGGAAGGTCCAGTATCCAGTCAAGCATTCTATAGAATTAGGCTCATCTCTAGAGATTAGTAATGACTGAACTTATTTATTGCTAGTCCCATAATTTTGATCTGTTAATTAATGAGGGTAAGGAATATCATAAGCTAAGATACTTCTTACCATTTGAATGTGAAAATTTGCTTAACATTTTTGCCTCCAGATATCCACACTTAATTGTATTTTCTTGATCTTTGGTAAACAGTCATGGATCTAAATGTACATGCTCTTAATGTGGTTTGTCACCAGGTGAAAGTTTCTTTTGGTACAAGAGATCAGTTCAGTAAACATTTGTCAAGTGGCAAGTATCTTCTCTGTACAAAAAGCATTGTGCCGAGCTCGAAGGTAGAAAGTGTGATGAGTGAACCATGACTGCTACCCTAAAGGTGTTGTGTAGGGATTGTTTAGTAAAGAACTGGCTGCAACATGAGGCAGAATGAAAGAAATTCTCTAAGATATTATTCCAGTTCAGCAGAAACCCAGGATGAGACCTCTTAAGAGGACCGAGAGGGTATATTGATCATCTCCAGCAACAGTGAAGGCATTGGCATATAGGGGCTACTGGAAGGCATCCCAAAGGGCATGGGGGCTTCCACCCTGCACATGGACATGAGGACTTAGACGACTGGTTGCCCTTCTTTCAGGTTTGGTTTTGCTTACTGCTTCTCAGAAAACATGTTGAGACCCAAGGCCTTGGTTGTGAACTCAGATGTGTGGTGTGGCTTTGAAGCACAGAAGGATTTTGTCCCATTTTGCTGTTCACAGAGTGGCAGAGAAATGCTTACATACTAAGGCTATGGGGACATTTAGGTTAGGGATGAAATAGAGGTCCTTTAAGTCCTGATTAGAGGCTGGGAAGAGGTCCAAGAAGCCTCACGAAACCCAATAAAGAAAAGTCCTGTGCTTGGTGAGCAGATACCGCCTCCTTTCCCTGCCCTGCTGGCAGGGCTGCACTTCAGTAGCTCTGAGTGCGTCAGAGCAGTCCGTGAACGTTCTGTGTGGAAAATCTCTGACCCTTTCCTAGTGGATTACACCGCTTTCTCTTTCCTCCAGTGCCTCATTATTCAAGATTATTTGATGTTCTCCAGCTTTTAAAGTAATCATTTTCCGCCTACGCAGAACATCCTGTAGAGACATTGAGTTTCCAGTGGGAACAGTGGAGAACACTTATTCTAAAAATGAAGAAAATAATTAAGTCTCTTTTTATGGGGCGGGGGGATAATCGTTGCAGCACTTATATAACAGTATGAGAATTCACTTGTGATGCCCAAGCTTAAAAAAAGAGTGTAGCAAAAGCATGATATACAGGTTTATTGCTGTGCCCAGACCTGTGCCCTATTTTCTTTACTCCCTCTTGCATCCCTCTGCTTCTTTTTCGGTATGATATTCTTTCTTATTTCATTTAAATATATATAATACATATATATATTAAATATATATATGTATGTTATGTGTACACACAACATTTGCAGATATATTGGTAAATTAAAAAATCATGTTTATGGCTGGGCGTGGTGGCTTGCACCTATAATCCCAGTGCTTTGGGAGGCCAAGGTGAGAGGATTGCTTGAGGCCAGGAGAGTTCAAGACCATCCTAGGCAACATAGCAAAACCTGATCTCTACAAAAAAAATAAAATTAAACTGGTTGGGCATAGTGGCACACACCTGTAGTCCCAGCTACCCAGGAGGCTGAGGCAGGAGAATCTCTTGAGCCCAAGAGTTTGAGGTTATAGTGAGCTATGTTCATGTCACTGCACTCCAGCTTGGGCAACAGAGTG